GCATCTCGACCCACGTCACCCGATCTGTTTGTGGGTGGATCTCTCCAGTTCTTCGCCGCCTCTGGCGGTGCGCGTTGCGAGCAGGAGCACGGCAAGGCAACAGGACAGCGCGGCATTGACAGTATAGCTCCGCACACGTGACAAATGTTAACGAGCAAGAACACAGCAAAGCCCCAGGAGAGCGAGGCATTGCCAGTGTAGCTCAACATTGACGCGATGGTGGTCGGGGAGCCCCTGGATGTGGGGACACAGGGCAGATCGGAAGTAACGAAACGCAGCATGTCAACACACGCGCCCTCTGGGGGTCGCGGCCGCGCGCGCGGGCTGGGCCAGCTCTCGCAGCACGGAGGAGCTGGATCCGGCACGCGCACGCAAACAGATGTTCACGGCGCGCGGACGCGTTGCTCAGGCTTTCGGGAGGGGCGTGGGCCTGCGGCGAAGGCGGAGGATTGCTGAGCGAAGTGCACGAGCTCAGCGTGAACGGTTGCCTTGCTTGCGTTGCCTTGCGTGCCTTGGTCGTGGCGGCCTTCCCAAGTCGGCAAGTGCGCGACGATCGTCCCGCGGATTGCAGTTCGGCCGTGAATATACAGCGGTTCGCGGGGAGCATTCAGGTTGGCCTAGAACGAAGATGAGTCGTTCAAGGGCAAGGCGAACGTCTCAGAGCGCACCATCGCGCGCCTGGTCCGCTTGGTCTCAGAGATGACCGCCCCCATTCGGCAGGCAGCTCGATTTCGGACACGCGTTAGCGAGGTTGGAGTTTGCCATCCGTTACGAATTATGTTATTCCACAATTTTGTTATTTGGTATTCCTCCTGCCTCTACTCATCATCGTCTTGGTTGCCGCTCTATGTGGCATTATCATCATTCCTTGCGTTTTGCCGAGTCAAGTACACATGGTGTGAGTATGCAGTTTCCGCATAAATGGTATCGCGGCAGGGCTTGGTTTTCCAGAGAAACAAAGTGCACGGTGGCGCATTGAATTGCAACACGTGACCGCAGCAATGGACCATTTTAGTACAGATGATGTCATGGCAGGGAGCGCGATTTGTGAACGCAACATGTGGCGCGTCGCATGCCTCTTGGGAAAGATTTGAGCACGGATGTACCGCGGGATTTCCGAGGAGATCGCGAACAATTGCGCAGTTGGCAGTTCCGCTGTCCCTCCCAGGCGCCCACGAACGTGGCGACAATTGCGCAGCTGGCAACCTCCATCCCGCTTGGATCAGACCAGGACAACCCCGCTGGATTCCCCAGGGGCCTACGAAGGGGCGGCAGTTGCACAGTTGGTTGCCCCTTGTGTGGGCGAGGTCTTGTTTGGAATTGCGTGGTCACCACACTGCTAGACCTCGTATCTGTGGCAGACGAGCATGTATGCTGAACCCAGTTAACCGCACTGTGCATATGCATGTTCCTCCGTTTGTTTAGCAGACAGTTCCGATAGATGACGGCCCGATCCAATTATTCAAATATTCCAGGTAGTATATCGTCGTCCACTGGTTACGCTTAGGACAGAATGTTGGTTCGCGGGTTGTTCACGCATTCTAAACGCTTCGCGTAACCCCACCAGCCCATCTCGAAACGATGCCCAGGTGAGTTGCGATGAGACATGTGTAGGAGCATGCAGTAGAATAGTGAGCGAGGGGGTTTTGGGAACCTCTTGGGGACCTCTTGGGGACTCCCAGGCGCTTCGTGGGGCCCTCTTGAGGCACTTGTGGGAGCCATCTTGGGGCCATCCTGGACGAGATCGATCAAACAAGGGAGGATAATCACTTCCATCCCGCCCCAGGAGGCCAGAAATATTGACCAAGACTATCAAGGATGTGTGCCTTCTCGCCGAGGCCGGCGAGAGTAAATAGTTCAATCAGTCGCGCACCCCCCCTCCACACCCAAGAGAAATGGGTGGGAGGAGGGGTCAAGCTGCCGTCCGAGATAGCAGGCCGTCTAGCTCACTCCCACCCGCCCTCCCAACTGATCAGTAGCGTCAGCAGATCGCATAGGAACGCTACACATGCCATGCGCACCACGGGTTCCAGGTGCACCAGGCAGGCAACCTGGAGGCCCAAGCGTGCCAGGTGCGCGTATGCTCCAGGTGCGCCCACTGTGCCACGTGCTCCAGCCGCGCCACGTGCGCCAGCTACGGGGAGCGAATAGGGACCCCAGGTGCCTGGGGCCCTGGCCCC